ATGAGGACAAAAGATCAATGGATCTTCTCTTCCGGCAATCACTGCCATGGTTTTTTAGCTAATTCATTTGTGAGAAATTTCCTTTGTTGTGTGGGGTTTACGTAATCATTTATTCTGTCCTCTATTTCTTTCCTTAAAACAGAGTTTTTCAGTATTGTGTTTCCTTATTTGTCTAAACTCTTTGCCAAGTTTTTCCTTTTCTGATGGATTCTCAAAAAATCGTTGCGGAATTTTGCGTTATCAAAGGAAAATTTTCACCAATCACCTTAGACCTCTTACCTCTGATTTTTCAGCTCCGCCTCTTCTCCTCTGCAGCAAAGTTTCATAATCCTCTGATATTGGCTGATATGTTACACAAAGCAATTCAATCGATGTCTTTGGAAGAGGAGGAACCACTAATCCTTCCCGACAGCCTGAGATTATGTGTGTACGATGATCGGTGGTTTAAACCTCATGGACGTTTGTTAAATCCCGATTGCCAATCAATGGCACGTATGATAGAGTACATGCCAACAACTTGGAGAGTGTATGGCAGGGTGCGTGGGATTGTGTTGTCTTGTGACTGTTTTCAGTTCGTGTTCCAACGAGAAGAAGATATCAGACGGTATTGAATGATAGACCTTGGTCCTACAACCGCTGGGCCATGATCATTGATCGATGGACTGCTAATCCTCCTGAGGATTTCCTTCAGACTATGGAGTTATGGATCTGTATCCGTAACATTCCGGTGAATCTGTTCACTGTTCATGATGGATACGATGTTTGCATTGGCCAAGGAGGTCAGGCAAGTGGTGGAGATAGCTACGATCAAAAATTTTCTCATACCAAAGACTAAATTCGAGCTAAGATCCTCTTTAATGTGGATAATCTAGAAAAGGCTGCTCATAAACTGACGGTTTCCAAGGATAAGACATGGATATCCTCTTTAATGTGGAAAAAGGTATCCATGTCTTTCATTCCGTCTCACACATGAAAGAATTCGGAGCCCTTTGTTGAGGAAGGGTGGTAACACAAGCAATTTTGTGGCGCAAGATTCTCATTCCTTAAGTGTTGTTCCAGTGCCAAGGTCACTGATTCTTCGAAAGCAGAGATTAAGGAACTTTTACGTATTGATCAGGAAGGTGGTGAAGGGTCTTATCTAGGACTTCCAGAGTGTTTCAGCGGGTCGAAAGTTACACTTTTAAACTTCATCAAAGAGAAGCTTCAAGGCCGGTTGCGTGGATGGTTTGCCAAATCCCTTTCACATGGTGGTAAGGAGATCTTGTTAAAGTCAGTATGTTTATATCTGCCATGCTATGTCATGTTTCAAACTTCCAAAGGACGTATGTGCTAAACTTACCAGTGCAATGATCGAATTCTGGTGGAGCAGTGGTGATAACCGAAAGAAAATTCCTTGGGTGGCGTGGCAAAAATTGTGTAAAGAGAAAGAACTTGGAGGTTTGGGCTTTCGAGACATTGAAAAATTCAATCAAGCCTTGCTAGCCAAACAAGCTTTGAGAATATGGTCTGCGCCAAATACATTGTGGGCTCGACTACTCAGACATCGATATTTCAACCGCTCTAGTTTTCTGGAGTTCAGCGTAGGAGCTAGACCTTCTTTTGCCTGGCGTGGTATGTTACACGGCAGAGATCTTTGGAAACAAGGTCTTCTCAAATCTGTAGGTAATGGAGAAGAGACCCAAGTTTGGTTGGATAACTGGTTGCTGGTGCCAACGCCTCGTCCTCCTCGGTATCGCCAAGACGCTTTTGTTGTTCTCACGCTGACAGTGTCCGATCTTGTTGATGTTCAGACAGGCCTGTGGAACCGAGACAGTGTACAGCAGGTTATTTCAGTTTCCATGATTTTTATCAACAAAAAAAAAAAGCACAAAACATAATGACCACCGCCATTTATTGCCTTACTTGCTTACATCTGCTGAAGCTAAAGTGGATTGCCGAAAAAAGAGGTAGTAAAACCGTAAAAGTAATATATATATATGTTTGTTCTTGTTATTGATTTGAATAATTATGAGTAGCTACATTGCCCTAATGTATGGCTAATCGAGTAAATGGAAAAAACGTGACTTGCTGCAACTCATTTCGAGTTGGATGGGGCAGGCGGAACTAGGCGATAATTAGATGAGGCAAGTGCCACATACAATTTTTTTTAGTTTTAAAGTTTTATTGAAAATTAGAGAGGTGAATTAGTGTAGTCGCTATATGAAAAAAGAAATGAAGCATATGATTATATAATAATTATATTGTGGAAAGTGACATTTTATCACAAAATTGGACAAACGGATCTTTTGACCATAGGCATACATTATAAGCTAGGGTTATTTGTGAAATAGCTAAAGAAAGAATGATAATTAAATTTTTAGCAATAAGGTAGAGAGATAAGAAGAGAAAAGAGGAGAGAAGATATGATTTTGGTTTGTTCGTGAATATTTTTTTTGTGGATTATTAGGTGCAATTTCGCTACAATACAAAACTACTATATTGTTACATATATTTGTGAACATCATCTTAAAGCTATTTCTGTATTTTGAAGAAGTATACGTAAACTGTAAATAATATATGTAAAATGTTTAATGTAAAATCAAATTAGATACATTAAAAAGTATCATTCTGACAACTCTGATATTATCAAATGACAAATTTTTTACATAAAATATTATTTAAAGTCAAGACGCTTAAAAAGACCACTAAACTTATTTGAACCATGAAAAATGAAACAATCACCCGTTCGGATGTACAAATCAAACTCTAGTCATTATTGTTATATATGAGATACTCTCTATAGTACCTCAATCAGGAAAAACATCTTTAATATTGAGTTTTTTTGTCTCAATGTAAATTTATATTCATAAATAACTTCGATATAAACAATTCAACTACAAGAAAGACAACCATTTTTACAATGAAGTAATCTAGTATTATCTTGGATCACTTATAAGGACCCAACACCACCTAATATCCTCATCCCAAGTGAGAACAAAATTATCCCATAAACCAGACATCTAAGCACCTAATTCGATAGCATGATATAAAGATATTACTAGCACAATGATATAAGCCTGGTTCGAAATACAATTATGAACCAGGCATTGATACCATAAGATCAGAATAGAGTACTTGTCCCAGCAGCATCTACACTATAGGCACATTTCCAAACTACATTCATATATTCCCCTGAGAACCGAAAGACAAACCGCTTTCCACTAGCCGTCGATCTTATCCTCCGATTGTCTCACCACCGCATAGAGAGAAAGATCCGTGGTGGAGGAGGCATTCCGCGTGCTACCACCGTAATAGAGTCGCCAGAAAACTGAAAGAGAAAACCAGATACGACTCGCCCTTTAGCCTTACAATTTGACTCGTTCCTCTTCCGTCATCCCAAAACTCTCACTGTTACTCTTGAAGAAACCGGAAACCAACGCCGTTAAATCATGTACAAGTCTCCGGTTAGATCACGAAAACCAAAAATAACAAGTAAAGAGATAAAAGGTAGACCAGTGGACAGAGAGGAAAAAATAAGAGAGTAAAGGGAAGGTGTTGGCGAGCCTCCGACACCAACGGCAGGGATGGATTTCCTTACTTTGAATGTAGAAAGAGGTACGAGTTTTTTTAGAGAAAATTATGTCAATAGATTCACTGTTGGGTTTCTTACTCAGTCTTCCTAGAGTGGTGTATTTATATTTTAAGTCAGTTCATATAATTTAAAAATCATATTTTAAAAATCTGTGCCATAAAAATGTAGGCAACTAACAACATAGTCTCTCAGCATTTTCTCAATGTTTGTTGTTTGGAAACCGCTTCTTTCTTCTCTCACATTTTCTCTTCTACTTTTCTTTATTCTATTATTTATTTTGCCAAAAGAATCTCTTAAGATTCCACCACTAATGGTGTTATAATGATGCTTTAAGTGTTAAGAAAAACGATATTTTTATCTGTAATGTCTAGAAAAAAACATTGTGCAGTGATAACGAAGTGAATCCTATGCGAACTGCAATGTCACTAGAAATCTCTTGAGAAGAAATCCTGAATCCAGTTGGATGAGGAAAGAAAAAAATATATATTTGATTTGTACATTTAATAACAAAAGAATGCAGATAGATAAATCGTTCACTAGTCCTCCCCATGGCTAAAGACTAGGTTTGGGCGTTCGGGCTCATCGAATTCGGTTTGGTTGATTCAAATTTTTGAAATTTCGATATTATGATCATAAGTCCCATTCGGGTTTTGCTAATTATCAGACTGAGTTTGATTTGGTTCCTTCCAAATTTGTTCAGATCGGATTATAACCAATATATAAAATCGTTCAAAAATATTTTTTTAAAAAAAAGTTTACAAAAAATATTCAAAATATATAAATTCTTCACAAAAACTAACTAAAAACTAGTTAAACTACCTAAATTAATTAAAATTTATTCAAAAATAAACAAAATAAACTATGAAAATATTTAAAATCTCTAAAACATCTAAATTGCCTCAACATATATAAAAATAGTAACATATTTCACTAATTTCGGATATAGTCGGATCCAAGTTTGAATTTCGGTTGGGTTCAGATTGTATCCGTACCCCAAAATACCAAGCTCTCATGTCCCATTCGGATATTCTTATATAACGATTTAGATCCGGATTTAGTTTTTTTCCGTTCGGATTAAGGTAAAGAGTTCGGGTTGGGGTAAAAACACCCAGGCCTACTAAAGACAGAAGCTCCTTATGCTTGGGGTTTATTTGACAGACACTTGGGGTTTAGTTTCTTCTTGCTCAAGCAATCAATCTTACAAACTAGTTCAAAGACTCTTCTCAATGTAACTCAATTATGGATAGAGATTGTTTCAAGTTGGAAACGTTACACATAATCATCAAGAGAGATGAAGACATGATTCACCGGAAAGTCTTTTCCTTTTTGTTTTCGTTAAAAACAAATTCCTCAAAACTAGCCCTGCCACTGACCATGTTGCACATGTTGATCTTTTTGGAGTATGTGGTTCAAACTAACAAGGATCCTTGTTGATCTTATACGTCACCAGCTAAATAGTGAAAACATGATATAAGCTGCACATGTTGGATCTTTTGCTCTATCACTTTCTCTAAACTTGACTAGTAATAGTAAATATCAAAAGATGTCCACATCCAAAAAGAGATTCAAGATAAAAACCAACAAAAACACAAAATATTACATGGAATGATATAAAAAACACTGGGTTCTTAACGGTCTATGAGATACGTTTTGTTTTACCTTTCAAAGAGGAATAGAAGATGGACCAGAAACAGCAACAGCCTTCTGAGCACGCTGTGTTTCATACCGATAAAGCTCCTTTGTCTCTTTCTTCATCTTCCTTGCTTCCCTCTTCTCTGTTTTCACAGCAGCTTTCCTCTCTTTCTTCTCCTCTTTCGTCTCTTCTCCATGAGTCTTCCTCTTGATAGGCTCAGCTTTCGGTTTCACACTGGTTTGTTCAGCTTTCCTACCGGGTAAAAACTCGACCGGGAGCTTCTCTTTGCCTTGGAGGGTAATGATTCTACCACCATTCAAACTCTTTGCTTTAGCTATTGCTTCATTCAGCTTCTTCCTAGCTCTTTCTGGATCACAGATTCTACCAGGGTGGTTATCAAGATTCGAGTACGTAGTGACTATGGTTTCACAATCCCACTTCTCGCTTTCGTCGCTGCTTTCTTCAACCACCTCCACAAATTCATCTTCATTGCTGTTAACCAAGTTCTCACCTAATTGCACAGACCGGCGGATGATGTACTCAAGCTCCTCTTTATCTTTCACAGAGTCACTGTTCTTCAATAGATCCGCAGGGTTCATATATTTCTCATCAAGCTCATAATCTTTTGGCTTCTCATAAATAAGATTACCAACGCTCCGAGCTGTGAAGTCTTCCTCATCTACTTCTCCATCTCCATCCATGTAACCATCATTGTCACTCCCACTTCCATACTCCTTAAGTTCAAGCTGATCAAACAACTGATCAATCTCACGAGGAACTCTGTGGTTCTCAGCCACCACAGGTCTATCTCTCGCCACTTCAGAAAACTCCACCTCGTTACTCCTCACACCAGAACCCTCTCCCTCCTGAGCAAGATTAGCTTGAACAACAAAATCCTCTTCCAAATCCCCAACATCAGAACCAAGCTCAGAGCCATCACTGTCCTCAAGCAAAGCAGCCACTTCAGGATCAATAGCCTTCTGCACCTTAACATTAACAGTCTTGGACGCAACACTATACATCAACTTATCATAATCAGCATCTTTATCCACCACACCAGAGACCTTAACACGAGAAGCATCATAAGCCTTGACATCACGAGGCAAGAAATCAGCCTCAAACTTAGGGTTAGCATAGAAATTAGAACCACCACCAGTGTTCTTAATCTCTCTCAAATGGTCCAAGTAGTTATACCCATCATCAGGATAACCCAACTCGAGAATCTCCTTCCTTACATCAGCAGGTAAAGGGTTACTCGAACCACCGAAACTTGAGTACCCATAAGCTAAATCTTCTCCTCCTTCTTCAGAGGCATCATCGAACTTTGAGGTGTCTCCTTCTTCTTCGGTGAAACCGTGGATGCTGACAGGGTTCTGATCGACTCGTAAGAATATCTTATCGCCTCCCGGAGCGTCACTGTATAATGGGTCTGAGGTATCACGAGGGAACAGCTCGAAAGTCGCCGCCTTTTTCTTGTCGATGAACTTCTTCTTCCCCATGATGATATCTGTCAATTATACAGCTAATAAAGGTAAGATCTTTGCAGCTAGGGTTTGTCTATCGATATGAAATTATCGAAAATAAGCCTATAAACGATTAGAAGGATGAAGAAAGCTTGCTTACCTGAGAGTTTCAGAGAGAGAGAGAGAGAGAGGCGCAGAGAGACAATGAATGGCGGAAAGGAAACGGCTTTGTGGCTTTTTAGGGTTTAGCTTAAACGCGTCGTTTTATAATTTTTCTTTTTTGTAACTAAGTTTTATAAGAATCAAGGTAAATGACATTAAAGTAAACGACACTTTTACACAGTATATATCATATAACAGCAGTTCCATACAATCTTTCACACTCGTCGAAGATTGGGCTTGGTTCTCATTGTTTATGTGTGGTTTTACTATTCATTGAGATAACCAATGGCTAACATCACTACAAGAAAACTAAGCCTTTACTAGGAAATTTTACTAGGAAAATTGTTCCTCATAAAATTATTAGGCCCTTACTTCGGTTTAACGAAGAAATCAAATTTCCTCGTAAGATCTTCGTAAACTTACGAGAAACCGAATTCCTCGTAAGACTGTAGTAATGTTACGAGGAGCTTACGAGAAAAAAGTACATTTCCTCGTAAACCCGTAGTACCACTTTTCCTCGTAAAGTCATAGTAAGTCTTCACTACGAAATTAAGAGGAAAGGGTTTTGTTACTACGAAATTAGGAGGAACTGGATAGAAAATATCGAATTTGAATCAAAAACGTGTTTTGTACCTACTTTTCCTAGCAATTTCCTAGTAAATGCTCAGATTCGAAAATTTCTATAAATACCACCTTATGTGATTCATTTGAAACACACCAAAAAAAAATCAGCTATAAGCTTGATCAAACACAAAAAAATGTCCGGTCCGGGAAATATTTTCGAGTTGCGGCAGTGGATGTATTCACACATAGATAATAACGGGAGGGTGACGAAAGAATTTCTGGAAGGGTTGGAGACGTTTATGCATCAAGCAGATTCTACACCACTCACGCAGGAAAGTAGTAAGATGTTCTGTCCTTGTCGGAAATGATGCAATACCAAATTAGGCCCTCGTGAAAATGTTTAGAAGTATTTAATAAATAGAGGTTTCATACCATATTATTATATTTGGTATCAACATGGAGAAGATGCTAGTTGTAGGAATGAAGGTAGCAGTAGTAATAGCAATTTTCAGGTTGAACCGGTTGATCATTTGCGTAATGAAGGTAGCAGTAGTAATAGCTATCATGACCAAGAGGAACAAATGGTAGATTGTGATAGGGTTCATGATATGGTAGGTGATGCATTTATAACTCATGATGATGATGAAGTTGAAGAACCTAACTTAGATGCAAAAAAGTTTTACGAAATGTTAGAAGCTGCAAATGAGCCAATTTACAGTGGTTGTAGAGAAGGTCTGTCTAAATTGTCGTTGGCTGCTAGAATGATGAGTATTAAAACCGATCACAATCTACCTGAAAATTGTATGGATGCATGGGCAGACTTGTTNAGTTTTACGAAATGTTAGAAGCTGCAAATGAGCCAATTTACAGTGGTTGTAGAGAAGGTCTGTCTAAATTGTCGTTGGCTGCTAGAATGATGAGTATTAAAACCGATCACAATCTACCTGAAAATTGTATGGATGCATGGGCAGACTTGTTTAAAGAGTATTTGCCATAAGACAATGTGTCTGCTGAATCTTATTATCAAATTCGGAAATTGGTATATAGTCTTGGGTTGCCCTCGGAGATGATAGACGTTTGCATCGACAACTGCATGATTTACTAGGGAGATGATGAGAAGTTAGAAGAATGTCGATTTTGTAAGAAGCACGATTCAAACCGCAAGGTCGAGGGCGCAATAGGGTACCGTACCAAAGGATGTGGTACCTACCAATCACAGACAGATTGAAAAGATTGTACCAATCTGAGGAGACTGCTGGATGGATGAGATGGCACTCTGAGCATACTCAGACAGATGGAGAGATGACTCATCCATCAGATGCAAGAGCCTGGAAACATTTTAACAATGTACATCCACATTTCGCTAGCAATAGCCGGAATGTGTATCTTAGGTTATGCTTTGATGGATTTAGTCCATTTGGAATGTCTGGGAGACAATATTCATTGTGGCCGGTCTTTCTTACACCGTATAACCTGCCACTGGAGATGTGCATGCGACGAGAGTTTCTATTCATGAGCATATTAATACCTGGTCCAAAACATCCAAAAAGATCTCTCGACGTTTTTCTACAACCACTGATAAAATAATTGAAAGATTTGTGGTCAACAGGGGTGAGGACATATGATTGTTCAACGAAAACAAACTTTACGATGCGAGCGATGCTTTTGTGGACCATAAGTGACTTTCCTGCATATGGTATGTTGTCTGGGTGGACTACACATGGGAGATTAGCTTGTCCATATTGTAACGGAATGACAGATGCGTTTCAGTTGAAGCATGGTAGGAAGACTAGTTGGTTCGATTGTCACCGTCGATTTCTTCCCATCCACCACCCATACCGAATAAACAAGAAATTGTTCAGGCACAAAAGGGTTGTCAGAGACACTCCTCCTCCATATTTAACTGGAGAACAAATCGAAGCGCAAATCGATTACTACTGTGCTCTAGAAACAGCTCCTCGTGGTGGGAATTGGCATGTTCCCAGTAATATGCCTGATTTTTATGGTGTTCAGCACAATTGGCACAAAAAGAGTATATTTTGGNACACTCCTCCTCCATATTTAACTGGAGAACAAATCGAAGCGCAAATCGATTACTACTGTGCTCTAGAAACAGCTCCTCGTGGTGGGAATTGGCATGTTCCCAGTAATATGCCTGATTTTTATGGTGTTCAGCACAATTGGCACAAAAAGAGTATATTTTGGGAATTGCCATATTGGAAAGATCTTCTTTTGCGCCACAATCTCGATGTGATGCATATAGAGAAGAATTTTTTTGAGAACATCATGAACACTATATTGAACGTCCCAGGGAAGACGAAAGACAACGTAAAATCGAGGTTAGACTTACCCGATATCTGCTCAAGGAGTGAGCTACATATAAAAAGCAATGGGCAAGTTCCAGTTTCAATATTCAGACTGTCATCAGATAAAAAGTCTGCGTTGTTCAACTGGGTGGCTTCAGAAGTGAAGTTCCCTGATGGGTATGTTTCAAATCTCTCAAGATGTGTTGAGAAAGGGCAAAAGTTCTCCGGGATGAAGAGCCATGATTGTCATGTCTTCATGCAGCGACTACTTCCCTTTGCGTTTGCGGAGCTACTACCGACAAAAGTATATGAAACACTTTCAGGTAGTTAATTAATATAATATGATGATATGATTAATTTATTTCTGTATACATATATATATATACTAATGTGGATAATTTTTGTTTTTGTAAATATATAGGAATTTGAGCATTTTTTAGGGATCTGAGCACCCGCACTCTTAAAGTGGAAGTTGTCCAACAACTTCATGAAAACATCCCCGTCTTAATATGCAACTTGGAGAAAATATTTCCGCCTACTTTTTTCGACGATATGGAACACCTAGTTGTCAACCTCCCGTATGAGGCATTACTTCGTGGACCTGTGTATTATGGATGGATGTATCAGTATGAAAGGGCCATGAAAACTTTGAAAGGAAAAGCCAAAAACCTAGCAAGAGTTGAAGGTTATATTGTTGCGAGAAGTTTGACGGAAGAAACATCACATTTCACATCGTACTACTTTGCACCGAAAGTACGTACAAGGAAACGAGCTCCAAGAAGATATGATGGTGGTGGTGTCGTGCCGACATATATGGAAGACGGTGTTCCAGACATCTTTTGTCAAATTGGGCGATTGGGTGGGAAATTGAAAGAGGTTTGGTGGTCGAGTGATGAAGACGTCCATATTGCACACCTTTATATTCTTCTTAATTGCGAGCATCCATTGATTGCTTATTTTGAAAGATAAATATATAAACATACACACTTATATATATATATATATATATATATATATATATATATTTCAATATTAAATATATAACATAACATATCTGATTTTACAGCCAATTTGTGACTCAAGTCGAGGAAGCAATACCTGGTATATCGACACCTGAGTTAGACAAATGGAAAGATCAACACTTTATCAAGTGGTTGAGGAAACAAGTATTTATTATTACTTAAATTTTATGCATACATTACCACAAAGTAAGTCTAATATGTCTAGTTATATTACTTTTTGTTGCAGGTTGATTATGACGATCCTCAGTATCTCGCATGGTTTCGCGAATTACTTCAAGGTCCAGTTGCAAAGGTCACTACATCATCGATGTATTTCACCCGAGGCTATACTTTTCATACCTATGACTATGGTAGACACCGGGCGACAAGTAATTATGGAATATGTGTGAAAGGTGAAACAAATTTCTACGGGATCTTGCAGGAGATTTATGAAGTTCAATTCCCAGGTATGAGTTTGAAATGCGTTATCTTCAAGTGTGAGTGGTACGACCCCGTCGTCAACAGAGGTGTTCGGATTAACTAGAACGGTATAGTTGATGTCAATGGTGGACGAAGGTACAACAAATTCTTTTTTGACATACGTACATGCATGTTCTGAGAACTAATAATTTCTCTGTTGTCTTAATTTTTGCAGGTACAACAAATTCGAGCCTTTCATATTAGCTTCCCAAGCAGATCAAGTTTGCTTCATTCCATACCCTCGGATTACTACAACGGGAATAAACTGGTTAGCTGTTATCAAAGTGACACCTCGAGGACGGATAATCGAGGGAGAAGAACCACCATTACAAGAAGAAAACACCAATGAAATCGAGGAACCTTAAGCAGAAATTGATGACATCCTACTCATTGATCTGCATAATCGTGGATACGAAGATGTCCCTGATCACTCAACGGACGACGGTGTTGAGGACGAGTTTGCCAAAAATGATGATGTTTCTACGGATTATGAGAATGTATCCGAATGAATTATGTACGTTTTATAAGTTTGTTTAATCACAAAAACCAATTTCAATTATGTACGTTTTATAAGTTTGCTTAATAACAAAAAATGAGTTAAGGAAGTTGTGGTTTGGGATTTAGATGTAGAAGAGGTTAGGAGTTAAGGAAGTTGTGGTTTGGG